GGGGCAGCAAACCAGTACAAACAAGTGGTTAGGTTAAAGTGTAATGATGGGTGTTCTAAACAGGCAATACAGTATAATTGCACTCCCATCTTACCCCAAACACAACACATGGTACCGAGCTGGACAATTAGCTTGTACGTAATATGCATCATAAGGGTGCGTTGTGTTCTGGGAAAGACGGTAGTCTGAATTTCCACGATGACAAAAAAAAAGAGCCTCAACGCCTACAGTTCACCTGAACACCTTGGCGCCTCACTATACACGATGACGTTATCAAGGCTCTCGTGCACAGAAGCTCATGGCAAACAAGGTGTCAAAGTGGTCAGGTCAACTGCATCGGCAAGGTCATCGGGTAAGTCGCATCAGTGCGGTAGTCAGGTCAACGGCATCAGCAAGGTGGCCAGGTCAACCACATCAGTACGGTGCTCCGGTCAACTGCTTCAGCAAGGTGGTCAGGTCAACCGCATCAGTATGGCGCTCAGGTCAACTGCATCAACAAGCTGGCCAGGTAAGGTGGTAAGGTGTCACCTGCACCAGTAAGGTGGTCAGGTCAACCGCATCAGTACGTGGTCAGATAAACTGCATCAGTAAGGTGGTCAGGTCAACGGCATCAGCAAGGTGGTTCAGGTCAACTGCATCAGTAAGGTGGTCAGGTCAACGGCATCAGCAAGGAGGTTCAGGTCAACTGCATCAGCAAGGTGGTCAGGGCAGACGCACTCAGAGAGTCAAATAGTCAAGAAATAGCTAAGGTTCTTTTAGGCACAAACATCATCTCCAAACACATCTGCATCAGCAAGCCTGTTCCTGTTCGGATACATGAGAGAAAATGTATGCAGGAAGCCTGTGTGCATACATGAGAGAACACATGGCAGAGTGTCTGCATACATCTCTGAACACATCTGCATCACCAAGCCTGTTCGTGTGTAGATACATGCTAATGAGAAATGGCAGCGTTTCTCTCCTCCGCTTTTGCCAGGTTCAGCCTCCTGATGAGTTGGTGAAAGTCCGAGGAAACAATTGTCACAGGGCCCCTTCCATTTCTTGTCCTTCTCTCAGATATAACAGACTCTTTCCTCATAGTTTAACTGACATCAGGAAGCTGAACCTCTCTCTCTCTCTCTCTCTCTCTCTCTCTCTCTCTCTCTCTCTCTCTCTCTCTCTCTCTCTCT